ATGTATAACGGATTGTATATATTTATTCCATGTTATGTTTGCTTATGTTGTACTTTTATTGTTTCAGACTGAAATTAAGTGCGTACATTCGCATCTATAATACAATAAACATCATCAGCCTCACCCCCCTCAGCTGTTTGTGATTATTTGGCCAGTGGGACACCTACTCCACTATCGGCCAACGCAAGCACAGTTACATTGGAGCCCCCAGTGAGAACCAAGATAGACGTTGCTACCACCACCAAGTGCCATTTCGTGGACACCCAGGATCACTCCCCGGATTGTGCCAACATATGATGTGCCTGTGCGTTGGTAGATACATGTATGTGTGACTTTTGACTATTGACTATGATATGTGACTATTGCTGTTTATACAGCTGATTACTTATACTGTGTACAGACTCTAGGAAGATTGTGCTGCAGCCTCACGTGACATATGAAATCAACAACTGTGTTTTCATCCCCTCCACATCTGTGATGTTACTCTGATTACTTGTATCTACTGCTTGTGTGCTGTCTAATAAATTTAACATGTAAACTTTAGTTTCAATAGGAGCGCTCCGACTAAGTACTTTCTTAGTTAGTTACTTAGTTAGTTAGTTACTTACTTATTTACTTACTTACTTACTTAGTTACTTAGTTAGTTAGTTAGTTCCCATATTTATTATCACACTTAATCTCTTTGTATTCTTCATAGTGTCGTTGTATAAGTGAAATAATCTTGAACGCGACGCTGTACCCTATCACACCTGAATTCTTATTTTATTTAGATTTACTATTAGTTATTTCATATTTCTCGCATCAATTACAATAACAGCCAGTATCTGTCTGTGTGTATGAATGAATGATGTGCTAAGGCAACCTATAAGTAGTTTGTAAAACTAAACTATTTAACTACCTAAACTACCTATCTAAACTTTTTTATAACTAAATAAACTGTCAGGTATGTTGTGTTAGATTACGTGTGATTTATTTGTTTTAGTCCTGGTGCTTGCTGATAACAGGGTAATGTATGTTATAGTTCTGTAAATATTTGATATTGTAGGTTCTGTGTTCAGTGTTGTTTCTTTCTCTTAGGTTGTTGGTGCGATTGTCTTATGTTGTAGGGAAAGTTCATTGATCCTGTTAGCCCCATACCCGCCTCCATTTGCGCGCGTCTGCTTACGATTTGCACTGCCACTATTTGCACGAATAATATTTGTTACTAATCATTAGTTGCATCTTAGCATTATTCCTAAGGTTTATTTAGCATTATTTTAGTGTTATTCCTTATCTAAGCGTTAGTCAGCTCAGGTAAATTTGTGTTTACTGTAAATAAGTACTGTAAAGGGTACATATTTTGCCGGTAAGCCACAAGGTATCCTGTTTGGTAAGTTGCTAACCTATTCCATAGCCTATTTTATTCATGGTTATCCATCATCTTCCACCGTAGCTTTAGTGTACACATGAATGTGTGCATTTTACTTCTCTTGGGCTTGGTACATCCAGTTCGTATATCATTTGTATACTGTATAGTATACTAATCAACAGTATAGTCTCATTTATTAAGCCTCTCACACTACACTTCTTCATGTGAGAATTTATTTTCCCTTGTTTTTTTAACAAGGAACGAATTTGTCTTTGGCGCTTCAATTCCACATTACCCCGGTGTATTCACTGGTAGCAATTATCTATTTACTCGGAAATTCTGCTTCTCATACTTCAGTATGGCAACACAAAATATGTCACCGGAGGAGATGGATCAGTTGGTTTCTTCTTTGAATAAGTTAGGTTTACAACCCAAAGCTGAAACACCTGAAGATTTACTGCAATGGATCACCGAGGTAGGTAGGCATAATCAAGAACAGGAGGAACCAACAGCAACTGCTACTATCCCTTCTCTACCCACTACCGTCACCTTAGCTAAGAGTCCACAGCTACCATACTTCTCAGGTGACAGGAAGGGAGATGCCAACTTTGATCAGTGGATGCACGAGTACACATGTATGTGTTCCCACTACTCCACGGACATTGTCCTGGAAGCAGTCCGGCGCTCACTTCGCGGCAAGGCGGCCAGAGTTGCTATGCACGTGGAAAAGAATGCCCACTGGATGCCCTCATCGACAAGCTGGATAGTGTATTTGGCAATATACACACAGAGCACAACATCATGGCGCAGTTCTACACGGCCAAGCAAGGGGACAATGAGACTGTAGCTGAATGGTCCTGCCGTCTGGAGGATATTCTCAGCCAAGGAGTTATCCTTGGTAAGGTTCAACCCAGCGACACGGAACAGATTCTTCGGGATACCTTGTGGACTGGCCTCCGTGCCGATTTGAAGGATCTAACTAGCCATAAAGCAGACCAGGATGAGCCGTATGAGAACTTCCTCAGGTACCTCCGCCAAGTTGAAGATGACCTGCTGCAGAGGAAATCAATCAAGAAGACTTGCAACATCAACAAGACTACTGTTACCCCAGACAACTCAGAACTCAAGGAGATCAAAGGCCTTTTGAAATCTATGTCTACAGAGATAGCGACCCTCAAGGCACAAGTAGGTAGGACTGACAGGCCAGGATGCACCCCAAATCAGGAACTGCCATCTTTAGATCAAGGTCAAGGTCACGGTCAACAATGGCAGATGCCCCCTAGGCAATGGACACAGCCTCCAAGGACAAGAGGACGTCAACCCTTCGGACGGCACCCGACTGGCCGTGGGACACCAACCTGGTTCCAGGGACCACAGACCTTTGAAGACATCCCAAGATGTTACAGATGTGGGCAGCCTGGACATATTCAGAGGGGATGCAGAGCAATCATAGACGGATACCCTTTAAACAACCGAAGGCCTATGGGAAGGGGCGGACCATGGGCCTAAGAAGCGTCAACAACCAGCAGAAAACAGCCGATTTAGTGGGAGACCCAACAGAGAGTAATATTACCATCAATGGAGTCAAGTGTAAGGCGTTACTGGACACAGGAGCAAGCATTTCATCTATATCAGAGACATTCTACAGGCAGAACTTCCCTGGTGTTCCACTTGAACCCTTGAAGCACATGCTACATGTAGAATGCGCCGATGGAGAACTCCTGCAGTACAGCGGACTAATTGTTGTAGACTTGGAGGGGACCGGAAGCGCATCGACTAAGGTACACTCTATGCTGCTTGTCGTGCCTGATAGTGCTTACAACAAGAAAATACCAGTCACTCTAGGAAACAACATTCTTTCCATTTACCTGACTCAGTGCAAGGACCTTTATGGACCAAGGTTTCTACAGCAAGCCGACCTGCACACACCTTGGTACCTAGCTTTTCGCAGCATTTTGATAAAGGAGAGAGAACTTGCAAAGAACAATTACTCAGTTGGCAAAGTAAGAAGTGCTGAACACGACCGCAAGATTATCCCAGCTAACAGTGAGATCCACATCGCCGGTTATGTTGACAGACCCCTACCTTATAAGCCAACTCATGCCACTGTCCAGCCAACCCAAGGATCATATATTCCTAATGACCTTGACATTGTACCAACCTTAGTCTCTTATGATGGAAGTGGACAGAAGATACTTGTTGATGTACGCGTCTCCAATCTTACAACCCGCTCAGTATCTATTCCAAGCCGTGCTCTTCTTTGTGAGTTGCAAGTTGTGAAGTTGGAAGGTATACCACAGACCTCTTCATCATCAAATACATCTAAAGATGCCACTGTCTTAGACCTCATGGACTTCAACGAATCAGCCGTGTCAGAAGAAGAACTTGCACAGGGAAAACAAGTCATCAAAGATTACTTGGATGTATTTTCCACTGGAGACACTGACTTGGGACACACGGACAGGGTACGTCATCTGATTGAACTTACAGATGACATGCCATTCAAACAGCGTTACAGAAGAGTACCACCAGCCATGTACGAGGAAGTCAAGGAACATCTGAACCAACTTCTACTTTGTGGAGTCATCAGACGCTCTCATTCTCCATGGTCTTCAAATGTCGTACTAGTCCGTAAGAAGTCAGGAAAACTTAGACTTTGCGTCGATTTTCGCCAGCTGAACCAACAGACCATTAAGGACAGCTATGCAATTCCCAGAATTGAAGAAATGTTTGAAGCCCTCGCAGGATCTAAGTTCTATAGCACCCTGGACATGAAGAGTGGCTACCACCAAGTAGAAATAGAGGAGACACACAAGGAACGAACTGCCTTCACCGTCGGACCCATGGGATTTTATGAATATAATCGTATGCCCTTCGGATTGTGCAACAGTCCAGCGACCTACCAAAGACTCATGAACGAGTGTTTTGACGGCTTGCATCTAAAGATATGTCTAATATACTTGGATGATATAATTATCTTCTCATCAACAATCGAAGAACATCTTGATCGATTGAGACAAGTTCTACAGCGCATCCGAGAGACAGGATTGAAGCTTTCACCAGAGAAATGCTCTTTCTTCAAGAAGAAAATCAAGTTTCTAGGCCATGTTGTTTCTGGAGAAGGCATATCAGCTGATCCTGAAAAGGTGGAAAAGATTCTGAATTGGCCAAGACCTACCAATGGTTCAGAAGTTAGACAATTCCTTGGATTCGCAGGATACTATCGGAAATTCGTGAAGGATTTCGCCAAGATTGCCAAGCCATTATCCTCACTGATGCCACATGGGAAATCCAAGAAGTCCAAGAATTCACTTGATCAACCATGGCAATGGAAAGAAGAACAAGAACAAGCCTTCGAACAACTCAAGACATTACTGGCTTCACCACCTATCCTTGCATACCCGGATTACAGCCAGCCATTCGAGTTGCATACAGATGCTAGTGGACGAGGACTAGGCGCAGTGTTGTATCAAGAACAAGATGGAGCAAAGCGGGTTATCAGCTATGCAAGCAGAGGACTTACCAAGTCAGAAACCAACTACTCAGCCCATCGACTGGAGTTCCTCGCGCTGAAGTGGGCGGTCAGCGAGAAGTTCCACGACTATCTCTTTGGAGCAAGATTTACAGTGCTGACTGATAACAACCCCCTTACCTACGTCCTCACCAGTGCCAAGTTGGATGCCACAGGTCACCGATGGTTAGCAACTCTCTCTGCACATGACTTTGACATCCACTACAGACCTGGAATGAAGAACACTGATGCAGATACATTATCTCGACTGCCAGACTTAGAACACAAAGAAGACATCTCTATGGATTCTGTAAAGGCCATCTGTGGTGTTGTTCACGCCCAACCGTTTGTAGAATCTCTATGTCTCTCCGCAAGTTCAGTTGATAAAGATCTTCACACGACAGCACATGACCTAAGTGGAATGACTGACAGTGATTGGCATATGGCACAAGCTACAGATACAACTTTACCTTCTTGGATACAGGCAGTACGTAACCAGAAGAAGCCAAGGAGACAAGACTTTCCTCATACCCTAGCCAATACCTCCTTGTATTGGAGCTTCCACTCGCTTGTACTTCAACGTGGGATATTGTATCGCCAGATCAAAGTGGACGGAATTACAAAAGATCAACTTGTGTTACCATCTAACTTCATCAATGATGTGTAACAAGGCCTCCACAATGGTATTGGACACCCTGGACGTGATCGAACCCTTTCATTAGTTCGTGACAGATTTGACTGGCCAGGCATGCAAGCTGATACAATGGACTGGATTAAGAACTGCGACAGATGTCTCAGGAGGAAAACACCGACTAATATCCGGGCACCTCTAGTTTCCATCACCACGTCACAGCCATTGGAGTTAGTCTGCATGGATTTTCTCACTCTAGAAACTTCAAAGGGAGGATATCAACATGTGCTCGTGATCACAGATCATTTCACGAGGTATGCGTTAGCAGTGCCAACCAAGAATACTACAGCCCGGACCACTGCAGAAGCATTCTACAAGAACTTTGTTCTCCACTATGGAATGCCCATGCGAATTCACAGCGACCAAGGAGCCAACTTTATGAGTCGAATGATTAAGGAACTGTGCAGCATCTTGGGCATATCCCAGTCAAGAACTACACCGTACCATCCAATGTGTAATGGGATGACAGAACGCTTCAACAGGACTCTGCTCAACATGCTTGGAACACTAAAGCCGGACCAGAAGTACGACTGGAAAGGATTCGTCGGTCCACTTGTTCATGCATACAATGCAACAAGACACGAATCAACGGGCTACTCCCCATTTTACCTGATGTTTGGTAGAGAAGCACGACTACCCATCGACCTTGCCTTTGGTATTGAGATTAACAAGGACAAGCAGACACTGACGTCCTATGTCAAAGCCCTGAAGACAAGGTTGGAACAGAGCTACAAGATCGCCACATCTGCATCAAGGGAAGCCCAGAAGAAACAGAAGACAGGGTATGATGTCAAAGCCAGAGGTGCAACAGTCCAGTATGGAGATCGCGTCCTGGTGAAGATTCTAGCCTTTGAGGGAAACCACAAGCTCTCTGACAAGTGGGAAGAGGATCCGTACGTAGTTCTTTCTCAGCCAAACCTGGGCATACCAGTGTTTGTTGTGAAGAAAGAAAACGGAGAAGGAAGGAACAGAACTTTACATCGTAACCTCCTCTTACCCATAGGATCTTTACCAGTTGAGAGAATTGAAGAAGTGCCAACAGCTCCGACTCCAGGACCAGAGAACCCTAAAGAACCAGAAACAGAGACAGAAACATCAGTGTCGGATCAAGATGAGCGTGGGTCCATCTCAAGCCTGCTTGTTGAACTTCCAACGGAGCCTGATGATACCACTGTCATCAACGCAGAATCCTTGGAACGAGATTCTACCTCACAGTTGGAGGGTGACGATCTGACAACTGGAGAGGTAGGCAGCCATTCTTCTGGTGGCAACGGCCACATGCCACGGGAGTCAGAGAACCCTGGTACAGGAGAAACGGATGCAAGAGAAGAAGAAGCAGCAGATGCTAATGTCAGTGAAGAACAGGACACAGACCCAGTGGTAGGAGCCACTGCTCCTGTCCCATCAGATGACCGACCAAGGCCAAGACCCAAGCCACCACCAAGGAAATCACTCCGGCAGAGACGGCCACCGGAGTGGCAGCGCTCAGGAGATTATGTGATGAGTCAGACAACATCAGAGGACAGGGATGATCGAACTCAACTAATCGAACAGCTTGCGGCTGCTGGCATCTTTGAGCGAATTGGTGGTGCGATGTCACAGCTCATTGTCACCTTACTTAATAACACCAGCAAATGACGAGGACGTCATTTGGGTGCAGGGAGAAGTATGTGGCAGGCTCATTTATGTACATACTTTTAATTAAGATTTATTAGTAAGTAGTAGGGTTATATGGCCTTGTTACCATTTTAACTAATTAGTTTGTTACGATATTTACATTATAAGAATATATTATTAGTTATAATATTAGTTATGTTTTATACCTTAGTATTTTATACCTTAAACATTCAATCCATAGCTCTGTAACATTAAGTAAGCTTACCCTCAGTCTAACTTCCACTAATTGTCACACTGCATGCTTTTGACTTACAACACTCTTTGCCCCAGCGCGCCCCGGCCCAGTCTATTGTCTTGTTGATAGGCCAAGCTGGCCATAGCTACAGCAATGTTTATTGTTGAATTTTAGAAGATCAGTTGCTATTTGTTACCTCAAGGAAAGACCATAGACTCAGCGAGATTTATTGCCGATTTCTTATCATGTGAGGATTTGGATTTGTGAAAGGATTTATTCATATTTGAGGTTAGTTGGTTATTTATTTTATGATGTTGTATATATGGATGTTTTCTAATTATTGTGATTAGAAATAATATATATTGTAGAATGCATTCTTTATTTGATTTATTAGAAACATAATGCATCTTGTATATATTTATAGTGCTTGATGAACTTACAGTTCAGTGAGAAATTATTATCTGTATAAAACAGTATTAAACACAAAACCTAAATATATATATATATAAACTAAGTAATATAAACCCCTCTGGACAGTAATGGAAAGTAAATGTATGTCTGTATGCTTGATTTATGTTGGTAAATGCGAATGTATGAGTGTTGTATGTCTGAAATGAGCGGCCGTTGTACTATATATTTTTATACACTATTTTACCATAGGATATCACTTGTATATAGTATTCTGCATTTGTATTTCTTTATTATGCAGATTTCTCAGTGGAAACATTTACCGTACAATCATTGTCACGGTATTACCAGTTCAGGTATCACCTATCTGGTATGTAATGTTCGTTATCACTCTATATCATATTTATATATTTTGTATCTGTGTATTGATGTATTGTACGGATATGTCTGATGTATTGTGTGATGTAAAGTTAATGCTATTCATTTTAATGGAAGTGATATATATATATATATTTTAGAAATTTAAAGAGTAACTACATGTATAACGGATTGTATATATTTATTCCATGTTATGTTTGCTTACGTTGTACTTTTATTGTTTGAGACTGAAATTAAGTGCGTACATTCGCATCTATAATACAATAAACGTCATCAGCCTCACCCCCCTCAGCTGTTTGTGATTATTTGGCCAGTAGGACACCTACTCCGGTTATCTCCCAAAACCCCTACATCCCATTTCCCCTACAACCCAGTTCCCCTACAGTTAGTTAAAACAACACGCGGCATTTACCTGTCTGGTATTATGAACTCACCTAAAGGAGAGATTAAGGTCTGGAGTAGAGGTAGTAGAAATGAAAGGGGTAGAGCTTTAGGGGACTAGGGAAAGTTTTTTTTTTAAAAATAATGTAAGTGTAATGAAAGATGCCTATATGATGAGAAGACAATTTTTAAAAATTACAAAAATAACAATAGGAAGAAACAATTATTACACTGAGAAACTGAGATGGACGATTTACAGTTGAGATGGCTAGGTTTAGTATATAGATACTTGAAACTGACTAACATGACATCAACATGTCTGGGCTTCGCTATGTTGAGTTTGTTATGTCACAGAGAGGAAAGCCCCAAGTCCTATTTGATGGTTATCTTCACACTAAGAACGTCGAGAGACTGACTTGCGTACACTGGTAGTGTGTCAAGTCCACATTAGAGGAAGACTCACGGCAGTAGGAACCGTGATAAGGAATGCTACAGAGGACACGTGGGTTGACGCAACGGACACCACACCAGATGTACCGAGAGCTGTCGCCTTCAACGACTACATCGTCACTACCTGGGTCGACCACGGAGCACGATTCCCCCTACCACTGTGGAACCATCACGGTACAACAGGTCCCAGGACGAACAACAACCTGGAAGGCTTTCATAACCGACTCAACCGAGGTCTCCCTCACCGACACCCCCACATCTACCGATTTGTGGAGGTAGTCAGGAAGGTGGAACAGGCAGAACAAGCTAAGATTTTACAGCTCGACTTTGGAGCAGCTCCAAGAGGCAGGAAGAGAGTGTACAGAGAGGTGGAGAACCGTCTTGAATAGACGAGTTGAATAGAGAGGTGAAATCCCCAATGCAGTTTCTAGATGCGGTTGGCCATTTCCTCAGGCTGGGATAAAGAGTGAATTGAACATTTGAGATGAATTTTATTATAATGTATTATGAATTTTGAAAAATGAACATTTTATTATAATGTATTATGAATTTTGAAATATGAACATTTTATTATAATGTATTATGAAATTTGAATAATATCGTAATTGTAATTTAATATTTATCTCAATCTATTCGTGTTTCTTGGGTTGTTCCATTGTATGAAATAGGTAATAGACTAGGGATTAGCAGTGCCATGGACCGTGAACTTTGTTGTCTTAAGCTGTAGGGGAAATGGGATGTAGGGGTTTTGGGAGGTTACCTACCCCTACTCCACTATCGGCCAACACAAGCACGGCCAACACAAGCTGCGCGTTCGGTTCCAAATTCAATTTAGCGGGGTTAAATCTACAGGTAACCTAGCTCTACGTTGAAAACACAGTATGTTTATCTCCTAATTCAGATTGTTTATTTGTCGGATAAGTGCATATTAAAAAAGGATTGCAGCTTTTATTTCAGGCCATTTTGCAGTTCGTAAAGCCCGCTCATGGCGACCCGGGGAATCCCGTGACGTCATTAGGCTGCCTCCTTCTTTACTTCAATGTTTTGTGTTCCTGCAGTTTAACGCTGCGCTCAACAATATTCTAGGTGTGTGAAGGCGGCCAGGGAATAATCAAGACTGAACCAGATAATCCAGTGATTGATGCTAATAAAAATGAGAAGTGGTGAACGTCGTCGCAATCAACCAAACGCAAGTTACCTAGTCTGTGCCCCCCCCCCCCCCCCCCCCCCCCCCCGGTCCATGTACTCGCCTCGTACGACAGGCATGGGCTGGGTCCCTGTTGTACCCCAGAATCCCCACGGGCAACCATAAGCTACAGGGGGCTGGAGGACCTATTCTATAACTGGGAAAAACACATTCTATATATTAATATCGAGGGGATTTCCACCCCAGTAAAAATAACTTCCCTGTCATGTTTATATATAGTTCTGATACCTGTATGGTTTATGTCAGATTAAAGCATCGTTCTCTCAATATCGTTCCGTTGATTGCATATTTCACATCTATAAGATGTTATACCATTGAACCGATAATTACTCAGTAAATATCGACATGCAAATGAATTATATAAATCTCTCAAATTACAAGTCTCGCTGGTATGTTATGGTGTAGGTATACTACTATATCATAAAGTCGGTACCTGTTATGCCCAAAGTGAGAACGTGAGAGCTTCCCTTCTGACACCAACTCTCAGTGAATCTGCTACCCTGATGAACAACAGGAGACAACTGGTTTAAAGCAGATATCACGTGACATCGACCCATGTATCCTGACTTGGCAGCTCGCGCCATTCGTGACCAACTCGTGTTATTCCGGGAAAGGTTACGGAAAGGGCCGAGTGGTGACGAATGAGCTCGCGCATGTCCACACTCATTCGTGACCAACTCGTGTTATTCCGGGACAAGCCGAATAGCGACTCGTGCCCCTCTCGTGGCCATTTTTGCGACCGGGTTCCGTCTTAGCGCAAACGGGCATACCTAAAACAATTGTCAACTCGTTGCGTAATGTTTCACATATATGTCCCCATATATTATATATATTTCAGATGCAATTAAAAGCACATCGGGACATGCGGAATTATACAGAATGATTGACCACATTTAACTGTGTCTTGGGTATATTTTTAGATGCAAGACATATTTAAAATCAAAAATTGTTTCTGAGGGATTCTTTGACGAAGAACTTGAAACCATACGCGCATTCTGATTGGTTTGTCGTATTTTCGCACATAACATTCATCGATAGGGGGACGAGTCTTCTTGCAGGTTACGGAAAGGGGCGAGTGGTGACGAATGGTCCACACTCCGAGGGAGTTATCGGCAATCTCCGTTAGTCTCCGATTAAAAAGAGGATAACGCTTCTACGTTATTTCCGCATACCGTCATATAACTGTATATAGATCTTTACTATGACTTCAAATTGACCTGTGTGTATGAGAGTGTGTGTCTGCGTGAGTGTGTGCGTCTGTCTGTGTGTGTGTGAGTGTGTTTGTGTCTGCGTGGGTCTGTGTTTGTGTGTGTGTGTGTGTGGGGGGGGTTACCATGCCGCAGTTATAAATGAAAACCTGCACTCAGAAAACAGTGTGTTTGTTGTTTGTTGTTTGTTGACTCTGTACTGACCCACCTGGCCAGTCGGGATAACAAGTACCTTCTTTTAAGGTCTGCTAATTTATCTTCTTCAGACACAAACACTGGCACACAATCATACACACGGACAAGAGCTCACACAGATGCACACACAAGCACATACACACAAACAAACACACATACAAGAACACACACAAGCACGCAAGCACACACACTTCTGTTCGAAACAGCCGTAAAATACCTGTCAGTTCGTCCCTGCGTCGGCTTGCTGTACCGGCACAGCTGTGACATGGAGGCGCCGTGTGTGGGTTAGAGAGGCCGTGTAACTGGGGTAAGTGCGGCAGCTGTGTTTTACGCAGCTGGTAACTACAGCTAGTTGTCGCACCGCGACCAGGGGAGCAAGAACTGCATATATATCTCCGGATGACACCTACTGATAAATAAAGTCGACCATTCCTCCAAAAACAATAGGCGGTCGGGTAGCTTAGTGGTTAAAGCGTTAGCTCGTCACGCCGAAAACCCGGGTTCGATTCCCGACATGGGTACAATGTCTGAAGCCCATTTCTGGTGTCCCCCGCCGTGATATTGCTGGAATATTGCTAAAAGCGGCGTAAAGCCAAACTCACTCACTCCAAAAACAATAACTTATTATAAATCGAGAGCCGCTTTTAAACAGCTGGAATGCTGAGGCGTAAAACAACAAACACACTCGGACATAAACCTAATTTGGATACACAATAAGAGATTATTCAAGTATACTCTATTCACGTATAATTGATCTTGATCATGCATAAAATGAAGATCAACGACCAGTGAAACGGAAACTTTGTCAGGATCAGATGTAGCGCATGTCATTTCAACCACACACAGATGGGTGCATCAGTCTGAAGCCCCCATTTGTCTGTAACGCCACTCCACAAACACACGTAATGGAATCTGCGTACACATCAGGGATGAGGCTTGTCCCCTGGGACGGGGACATTCATGTACACGTGTGTCCAGTGTTAGCCAGGTGTGTGAAAACTCTTTAAAATACTCCGTAGTCCCTGTGGTCAACATGGTGGTACCTGACATTGTCAATAAATACCGGAAGTTGTTTCATATTAATGCAATAACTTATAGATTCCACCGCGGAATATACCCTCAATGCTTGTCCTCCGGTCGGGTAGCCTCGTGGTTAAAGCGTTCGCTCGTCACACCGAAGGCCCGGGTTCGATTACCGACATGGGAACAATGTGTGAAGCCCATTTCTGGGATATGGCTGGAATATTGGTAAAAGCGGTGTAAAACCACACTCATCTCACTCACTCACTCTTCCGGGGCAGACGATGTCGCCACAACCTCTCACTTGTCTTCGAAGCAGCCCTAAAATACCTGTCAGTTCGTCCCTGTGTCGGCAATGATGCAATTGATGGGGGGGGGGGGGTTGTGTGTGTCAGGGAATACTACTTATAGTTTATCAGCAAATGTAAGTAACATTTGTCCTTTGACCGACATCAGTCCGCACGGCTCTCTTCCCGTCAGTCAGCATTGTCACGTGTGTTGTGTAGAGCGTGGTCACGTACAACATACGTGTCTAGGACGGAGGGACTTTCTCAAGAATACCCCAGGGGAATCTGGGGGACAGAGACATATTCTTGAGAAAGTCCCCGCTGAGAGGGTGACGTCACTGGAGGTTTATAAGTGACGTTCACGGAATTCACCCAAGAAACCCCGGCCAATGAACCCTGCAGTCATTCTACAGTGATACGTACTCAGGGGTCATATCAAAATCTTTATCGATGATTTCATGTTTAACCATAATATTCACGTCTTGGTGACGTTTTGTGATACGAAGCTAAATTTTCTAAGAATATGTTCAAACAATATAACTTCTTCTGTCTTTACCGCAAGACAATAAAGAATTTGTAACTGCCAAATATGTTTCTGAGACGGTCATGAGGGTGTTTAATTTCCTTTATGAAATGCCTGTGAGAACCCAGCCACGTGACGCGGTACTTCCTGGCGGACAGTCTTCCGGATATGTATTACGAAAATAATTGATACCTCATCGATTTCTAACCTGCATGTTTATATAGTTATTACGCCATGTGTACTCAACGATTGAGTGATATTGATTACTTAAGATAGCACTTCAAATCCTATTCAAATCAAAGCCACAGATATTCATTACATTTGAGGCCTCCGTCCCATTATACATCGGCCTTACAACTAAGTTTTACATATAAGTACAGAGTTTTACAAATAAAAAGAAATATCACAACATTAAGCAAAAAACTTTTTATTCTTCAATTTTACACACACTTGAGTCCCATATACTACTTGCAGATCAGGGGTAAAATAGGTCTTCATAACCCATGCTTGTCGTAAAAGGTGACAATGCTTGCCGTAAAACGTGACAATGCTTGCCGTAAAAGGTGACAATGCTTGTCGTAAAAGGTGACAATGCTTGCCGTAAAAGGTGACAATGCTTGCCGTAAAAGGTGACAATGCTTGCCGTAAAAGGTGACAATGCTTGTCGTAAAAGGTGACAATGCTTGCCGTTAAAGGTGACAATGCTTGCCGTAAAAGGTGACAATGCTTGTCGTAAAAGGTGACAATGCTTGCCGTAAAAGGTGACAATGCTTGCCGTAAAAGGTGACAATGCTTGCCGTAAAAGGTGACAATGCTTGTCGTAAAAGGTGACATTGCTTGCCGTAAAAGGTGACAATGCTTGTCGTAAAAGGTGACAATGCTTGTCGTAAAAGGTGACAATGCTTGTCGTAAGAGGTGACAATGCTTGTCGTAAAAGGTGACAATGCTTGTCGTAAAAGGTGACAATGCTTGTCGTAAGAGGTGACAATGCTTGTCGTAAAAGGTGACAATGCTTGTCGTAAAAGGTGACAATGCTTGTCGTAAGAGGTGACAATGCTTGTCGTAAGAGGCGACTAACCGGAGCGGGTGCTCAGGCTGGCTGACTTGGTAATCATATCCATACTGCACATGTATCTCAGTTTTGTGTGGAAAATATAATATCTTACACATAAAACTGAGATACATGTGCAGTCAGTTGAATTATGATTTATATAGAATTGGTATAAAAGATCACCCGAACTGTACATGTTCGAATACATGTGAAAATGCATATCATTATCTCATGGAATGTCCATTGTTTAGTCATCAGCGTGAAATTATGTTAAACAGCCTTAAAAATATTGTTCATAACATACCTGTTGATGTACACTTACTGTTACACGGCAATGCAGATCACGTTGTTACAGAAAATGAAGCTATATTTAAGGCAGTACAACATTATATATGTACAACTAAAAGATTCGTGTAAAGAACTGTTCATTCAATAATGTTACTCTCTCTCTCTCTCTCTCTCTCTCTCTCTCTCTCTCTCTCTCTCTCTCTCTCTCTATCTCTATCTCATCTATAGTGTTTTATGTTTTATGCATATATATTGAATTTGAAATTGTGAATATTTTGTAAATACCAGGGAGAGGGCATTCTAAGTTGGAAGAACTTGTCCACCAATCCCGTTCACTCCTTGTGAATAAATATGTTTAAATCAAATCAATCATATCCAATTTGCGTAGATAGATGCTCAAGATGTCAATCACTGGATTGACTCGTCCAGACTCAGTTGTTTACAGACCGTCGTCATAAAGCTGGAATATTGCTGAGTGCGGCGTTAAACACCAAACAAACAAACAAACAAACAAAACATGTACATACCAGGAGGGGGTTGACTACTAGTCTAGATATTAATTACATCTATAAACGTAATTATTATTATTTGTAAATAACCCTGCAACAATGTATTTTTGTGTTTGTCGGACAAGTTCTTTTCTTCAACAGTCTGAAGTTTTTCAAGCAATGTCTGGGACGATGTATTTTTTCGCTAAAATGATAGGTCCTTTACTACGAAAGTGCAATCCGTGCATACATGTATTACACGTCGCTATGTGTCTGACAGAATGCCGACGTTCACTTGTAACTCACTCACTCACCTGTACATATTTCACACAGGTGCAGTTACCATATCAAATGTATTGGCTGTAATCATTGTCCAATTAATGTTGCAGATACAAACAATGACATGTACAAACAATGGAAAGTTTCATATATATTTGTGTATAATTAATTTCTTTTCAATATGAACACCTTATTATATTTTAGTAATGCATCTGGTTTGAAAGTTTAACATTACCACCATAATCTGACTTGTTG